ACACACACACACAGTCTACTGGACATTGAGGGTGCGAGCAGACACTCCATGGTGCCAGTCTCTCAGCTCGTTGTACTTAGGGCCGATCAACAACTGAGTGGAGATCTTGTTCTCTCTGTCGTGACGGAGGAGGAGAGAGAAAGAAGGAAAACACAGCAAAAGAGAGAGAGAAAAGAGGGATTTAGGAAACAAAGAGCATTTACCCGGAGATCTGCGATGAGACACTGCAAGCCAAACCACAAGGAAAGCTTGATGTTACAGATGCAGCCGATACCACAAACAAAAAGCTGGTGATACTCAGGAAACAATTAGATGGAGAGGACATGAGCAGTACAGCTGGTATCTATGATCATTTTCCAGAAAACAGTTCACTCATTTTGTGAAAATACAACCTATGAGTTAGGGTCAGAATGGACTGATGTAATTTAACCACAAGGTTACACACCAACAACCACACAGATGTGGACTATGTCTACAAGTTAACATTAATGATCACAGACAGTCAGTGATCACACGTGTCACCACAAAGTACCAGGAGCAATGGACAGCCAATGGATCACGTCACAATGAGAACACCACATTCGAGCCACCGTCGCCCAGATCCCAAACACAGGTTAAACAACATGCAGCACTGCAACGCCGTCACGGCCAACAACCAAATGCACAAACAACCATGAGGAGCACGCAAACCATCACACACAGCCACACTTGGACTGGTATAAGCACAGATGGAGCAGTTTTCAGCGACTGGTGTGATAAGCAACATTTCTTTCTGATATTTTGGCTGTAATGAGAATTGACATCATGTAAGGAGCACACAGGTCTGGCTTTTGGCTTAATGGATCAAATGTGATCCTTCCTCCACCGTCTAGACAGGAAGAGCCCACACATCATTACCATTGCCAGACTTGTGCCACAGAGATTTACAGTCAGATTCTCTGTGGCTGCATGAATGTAGACTTTTACAGTTTACATTACAGGCACCCATGTTAAATAATATAACAGCATGAAAATGAATTAAAAAAGATGAGATTTCCTGTAATGAGTAGTGTTACGCCAATAATGGAAGTATTCATTCAAACACCAGGACAAACAGATGATAGGAAAACTGAGGCTAAATCATGATTTTTTAATAAGTCAGCGTTTTCATGCCATGCACTTACTTTGTCTTCTTTGCTTTATCCGCTTCCTCATCTAGAGCTACACAGGAGATAATGGAAACATGAATGAATGTTTAGTGTCATGTAGCTTAGAGTACATTCAATCAGTAAAACTTTCTCTATGTCCCATTCATTCACATTCTCTTTCATTCTCCCTGCCTCTTCTGACCAGCTGACTTCTGGGTGTTTATGGTAATCCAATCACATTTTGCCAATGTCTCAATCAGCCAATCATGTTGTTGCTGCCAAACTTTAAATCTGTCTATGTCTCACTGTCAGCTGTCATTTCCTCAGTCACCTCCAGTCTCCATATCCAGGGTCCTGGTAAAGACGAGCTGAGTCCACTCATCTCATACAGATATTCAACATTTTCTAGGTCCCATCAACCACCACCAGTGTCCACTGTGCTACAACCAGCGTCACCACCTTTAAAACTTGTTGACACCATGTTTATGTGCTAAATTGACTTATTTATATCACAGCACTTTGTTTTCTTATTGTGCCTGCGAATACATTTTGTTCATTTTCCAACTGAAGTCTCTCCCGGTTGAAAACTAATGGTAATGTACCGTGCTCTGTGCCAGTGATCTGAGCCAGAATCTTGAAGGATCTGGACTGGGTGGTGCCGGAGCGCGGGCGCCAGTCCTCGGTGTCCTCCGTTATGCGCTTCCTGCTGGCATCGGCGTGCGTGGGCACGTGGTAAAAATGGATGTCTGTGTCCACAACATGTTTCCTGGGGACTCTGGAGGAAGGGTTAGAAGACGATGACATCAGCAAATATGTTTTTAATTTTGCTGCCTCTCATACAGCGAACAAAGTAACAAGAGATGAAGACAGTGATGTAATTTCCTCTGAGGTATTATACGCTAGTAAAGTGTGATGCTTGATTTTTAACTCAACAGAAACCTATAAAACATTTCATACTTCTAGAATGACTATGTATGTAGGTCATGAGACGCTCTGTCCACCAAAGTGTGTAAAGAGGAAAAGGTATGTTATGCTTATTAATAGTAAGGAAGTTTAAATCAATGCACAGTGCATGTACTGACATGATTTATAATTCAGTTAGAGGAATTGTTAGATTATTACAGGTTACATGGGATGAAAAGATGGCATTATAAAAGTAATAATCCAGAGGTTGTGTTTATTAGACAAGAACAGGTTTAAAAATGTTTTCACACTGTTAAATGAATTTCGCTTCTAGACTGATACCTTGGGGCCTGAGGTTTTCTTGAAAACAAACGACAGAGAAAAACAGATAAAATAAGGACAGGGAAAATGAAACTGAAACATTCATTGGACACAACAGAATTATGACTTACTTCAAAATACTTTGAGGTCCACTGAAGGGAAGATAAAGAAGGAAGATAAGAGAAGAGAAGAAGATTTGATAAACTTGTTAAGAACGAATCAAGAGAAAGAAATTAGAGATAAAATGATGAAGTAGAAAACATACGGACCCACAACTTCCAAAGCATGCACAACACAGAGCCAGACAATTAATCACATACGCGTGATTACATTTTCAAAGGAGTCGTTTCTGTTTTGAACCACATGGTGGTGCTGTTGACCTGTCTTGAATTCGGCGAAGGTAGAGTCATTCATCATTCAGACAGTTAGGGGAAGTGTTGAGATGTATGTTTTAAGACAAATGGTACGAAAAACATGCACTTTGGTCCGGATGAGTAATCAGCTTGATTACAGTTCAAACTGTGTGGTTTGTGTTAGCGTGATTGCATGAATAGAAAATACGCCACAAACTCTCTTGGCAACAGCGTGTTGACAGGGACGATACTAATTGGCTGTAAATAGCTCAACTCTGGGACAAATACACACATGAGTGCCGTGAAGACATTTCTGAAACCACTGTCAATAAATCAACTATAAATACAAACACAAACACACACACATTTACCTAGCACATTGAATTGAGTGATTTACGAGTGTCTCTCAACACGTTCTTGTCACAGCAGCTGTGGGTGTGGTAGTGTTGACAGCTCCATGTGAGCCTGGTCACACACTTACAGTTGCACTGGAAGTGTCTCACAATTTACTGTAGTCTCTGTGTGTGTGTGTGTGTGTGTGTGTGTGTGTGTGTGCCACTCACTCAATATTAGTATTTGTCATTTATGCTCAGGCTGAAAACAAACTGTCGCCTCAGCACTCTGTGTCACCTCCAGAGGTTTTAATAATCTAAATGCACGTGTGCTATGAACTGCTGCTCTTGCATAATGAAAATATGAAATCAAGCAAACTGAATAAAAACATCGATATTGTTGATGTTGTTAATTTATGATAGGCAATGATGCATAGAAAACAGATGACATGTTTCATGCACAAATATTTTCCTGCACAATCTAATAAGCAAATGCATGCAGATGCCATGATGTAGAATTCACACAAAGATATATACAGAGAGAGGAACAGGTAAAAAGGTAAAATGGCAGACAGTCATATTTGACATGCTTCAGAGACTAACTTTGTGACTTGAGGATGTGCTGCAGTCTGCAAAGCAGAAAAACAAGGATTGAAAGGAGGAGAGAAAGACAGAGTAAACTGACACACAACAAATTTTTGTGTGCTCTTTTCTTAATTAAAAAATCCCCTCTGAAACGAACCACACAGCACATTTAAATCATGCACACGAGCGAGCATGACACAAGGACGGACACGCATGCTGTCTCATCTCAGCAGCAGAAAAATAAAGAAAACCTGCTGTATGAAAGGAGAATTTGGATAATACATGTCACGGAAAGTGCGTTCTCAAAAATAATCAAGTAACACGATATCCTTTACGGTATATTGATATTTAGTGAAGGTGGATCTTTAAAGGTTCAATGCGTAGAAATTAGTGACATCTAGTGGTGAAGTTGCGTGTTGCAGCTGAGTTCCCCTCCCCTCACTCTCCCCTTCCAAACATGATAGAGAACCTGTGGGAGCCTTCAGTTGTCATAAAGTTGTTTAGTTTGTCCAGTCTGGGCTACTGTAAAAAAAAAATTATTTTATATTAAAGATCTGCCAATAGATCCCTTTCACCTAAATCTTACACACTGAACCTTTAAGTTGACCTCTGCTGTGGAAGAACAAAATAACTGTCGAGGCTGAGCGGTGAAAAACACGGCACAGATCATTCAAATGAAAAGAGAGAGAGAGAGAGGAGATCAAGCTTTAATAAAGTAGAGATGTTATTAAATGTCATCTGTGATACATGAAGGAGGCAATGTTCCCGTCTGAAATTCATCTGTGTGTGTCTGTGTGTGTGTGTGTGTGTGTGTGTGTGTGTGTGTGTGTGTGTGTGTGTGTGTGGTGTGTGATTATATTGTGCAGATCACTGGTGTCTGCTGAGTCTCACAGAAACAGAAAACACTGATCACTTTGTCAGTGTGTTTCTTGAGAACAGCAAAGAGAGAGAGTGAACATGTATCAAACAAGTATATTCAAACAACTGAGTGAAATAATCCGGTAGTTTTAAGATAAATCACTAAAAAAATGAATTGAAAATGGAAGAAAAATGGCTTGATGAAGGTTTGTGTACACCGTCATGGATTCGAGGCTGAATCTTTTACCGACTGGCCAATTTTTTAGAAGAGCAAACAGAATGCCACACAGCTCTCGTTACTGATGCAGGCTATATATACACAAACTTAGTCATAGCATCACACCATAGTTATACTCACTATGCCTCTGAAGAGAGGAGTTGAGGTTATGGCAAAAACACAGGGAGGTGTGTGAGTGTGTGTGTGTGTGTGTGTGTGTGTGGGGAGGTGGTGTGAAGGATGGCAGGGGAAAAATAAAACATGATGAATCAACACTTTAAAATAAAAGTTATTAATGTGACCTTATATGCCCAACCTTCAAAATAAAGGTGAAGAAGTCCACTTTCATTGACGATAAAATAAAGAAAAGAAACCGCAACGCGAAGAGAGAGCTTTGGGTTATCCATATTGCATAACCACCACACCAGGGATTATTTGTATTTCTTATGATATTCCTTTTTAAAGTGTGTGCTGAAGTCTTAAATTTTAAGATTTTAACCAATGACAACTCAAGGTTATGATTTACAGCATGTTCCATTAGTTTAAGAGCTAATTTAATTTAAATTCCATCACTTCTCAAGTTTTCCATCCATCGCAAATATGCAGCTATTAAATGTCTATCAGCACAGAGTTTCCCTCGCCAGGTTTCTACAGTGACGTGTTTCCAGACTGGTAGCTTTAAGTTGTTATTTTCTAAATGTCAACCAAACCAGCTGCAAAGAGCCGAGAGGAGACTGTCGCGTTTCAGACCATAATAAACAAGACTAAAGACTTAAAGCTGGAGCCATGACGAGAACGATAGATAGAGCCAAGAGAATAAAGGACAGATTCGTTTGATTGGCTGGAGAGGCCGCCACTCACCCATTAAACTGCAGCGGTAACGCTCCGCCCTGACTCTCCAACAGGCCCCGCCTCTGCCCCATGGCCACCTCGCAGGCGTTCTCATTGGAATACAGGTTGATGGGTGTGTTATACACCGACGGCTGAGGCGGAACGAGGACAGGGGGTGAGGAGGAGGCAGAGGATGGGTAAGACACAGGAGGTGGGGGAGGAGGAAGAGGAGGAGTTGGAGGACTGGCGTAAGAGGATGCAGGAGTGAAGGCGGAGGATGGGGACGGGATGAAGGCAGCAAAGGGCGACTGTGGCGGAGTGAAGTCGCTCTTCGTGCCGCAGCCCCCGTAAGGTCTAGTGGTTTTGCTGTAGGGGCTGGAGGGGTGAGGGTGCGGGTGGGATGGTGGAGGCGGGTGGGTGAGGGCCACTGGTTTTATGATGTCTGATCTGTTGTCCTACCGGCACAAGGGAGGAGCATGCAAATACACACAAAAAAATAAATCACAGCACAGCACGCGCTATACTGACGCCTCCCAGGTTATGATTTATGGATATGTGGTTCTCCAAATAATAAACTTTGATTCAATTTAAAAACAGCTATGTAAAATCTAAATAGCTCTACTTTAATTTCAAAATTCACTCTCTTGATTTCTTTGAATAGGGAGGCATCAGTATAATTTACAGCCAAACATTAATGTAGCATTGATAAGAAACATATAACAAAGGTTGTTTCCATGCAACAAAAAGTTTGCATGGCACCGTTTCAGAAGGATGTAATAACTTCATTAAAATTTTCAAAGAACAAGGTACCCCAGGTGAGTTATTAATATATCTGCATGGCAAAGTAAAGCTACATTCAAGATGCAATTAAGCACATTTTGAACACTGAAAAAGTTTTATATTGTCATAAATATGACATGTGTCATAAGAAACTATAAAAAGTATATATTCCAAAACTAATTTCATACATCTAGAGTCACCTGGTGTACCCTGCCTTCAATAAACAGTAATAGTCTGTGATTGTATAAATGTACTTGCTGTTTAAGTTTCTGTTTTTCCAGTGACATGCTGTGTTACAGTACCTTTGGAGCCACAGGCGGAGGTTTGGGAACACTGGAGGCTCTGGAAAGAAAGAGAGAGTGAGTGTGAGTTATTGTTGCACAAACACAATTTATTTGAATTTCAGTGCTCTTTCTTTTGTTTGTCTGAATTTGCATGCCAATTATGGATTTAAATGACTGTTACTCAACACCATGAGCAAAAGAAAATGTTTCGTTAATCTTCATACAGCTATTCAAAGCTGCTAAGACCCTGCAGTAACATGTCGGAGGTTGAGAGACGCTGCGGTTCTGGTGAATTACAGCTGAACCCGAGCTGTCAGCATCGGGACCGAACATTGAGAGGTTTCTGTCGTCAGCTGTGACACAGTCCAAGACTCTTATTGTGTCTCTTTGTCAAACTGTGAAATCTGAGTTGCCGGAGATGAAAGTTGTGGTTTCCTTTAGTTTATGTGTGCGTTTGACTCCAGCTGCTTTTAGTATAAGAGGCCTGCATCAATGTGATATGCTTGGTGTTTTTATACACTTTATGCCAGCTGCTGAAAAAGGTCAACTGTGGACCCACAATCTGAGGTGATGTCAGCTTAGCACTTCATCCAAATACACACACACACACACACACACACACACACACACACACACACACACTTTAATGATACAAAATTAACTGAAACTTTCAATTTACACTTACTAGTAAAACTGGGGAAGGCAACATATTTTTGGCATTATTGAGACCAATATTTGACCAATCACAGGACAGTTCAGAAATAAGTTGCTCCTATTGGCTGTTCTACCAAGCAGCTACACCTGCACATCCCTTGATGTAAAGCCTGCCCTGAATGTGAATCAATGGCAGAAAAAATCCAGCAGGAAAGGTCAAAATTCCTGTGTTGGCAACAACTGCTTTCATTGCAAAACAACCTCTGGGTTGACGTAGCAAAATATGAGTCTAAAAGAAAGTGTTTCAGAGATGGAGAGAACTTTGGGAATTGCATCAGCTTCAAGTTGGCCTCAGAGCTCACTCTTCATCTACTGGACTGAATTATTCTTGTTCTAATAAGTTAGTTTGCTGTGGTGGTTAGGTTGGTTCAAATTAATCTCCTAAAGTAAAACATTACAATCACGGGACAAATGATGGTTGCCAGGTGCATTACGACTTAATTGAGCCTGATATAAAGGGGAAAAATACACGGGGTGATACAAATTAAAGGTTGAATACACTTTGCAGTAACCAAAGACGTTTAAATGTCAGCAGCCCCACATTCCTTTCAGAGCAGCGCTTTAAGAAACTTCCTCAGGGAGGTTCATGTCCTTCATCTCTGTAAATCTGAACCGACAGCCTTGTAGTAGCTACAAACACATCAGTCTGCAGGTACAGCTACTCAGATGCTCGTCCTCTTCCCTCTCCGCCCCTTGCTCCGCCGCTAGATCTTAAATGAGTATAACACCTGTTGCAAAAATTGGCCATGAAATGAAGACAGAAAAAGACTCTACAACTCCCATAACTTGTCACGGGTACAGTTTAAGGACACACAGGTCAAACAGCAGCTTTCCTCATACCTCTAGAAAAAGGTGATAGGTCCAACAAAGAAGGTAATCAAGATTAAAACAGGCTGTGCAGAAGTTTTAAACACGTTAACATGTCTCCCTCCTGTCCTTTATATGATAAAAGACATATTTGTGAAATAAGCAGTGTTTCCAAATGCCAGACTGATAAAAATACAGCCAGGGTTTGTGATGTCACAAACCTAAGTGATCAATCCTGTCAACTTGTGGGTGGAGCTCAGTTGCTGGACAGGTAGAGGAAGCAGGGGCAGGGCCATATTAGTATCTAAAGACCTCAGTCATGAAATGAGGAAGAAGATGTAGAGTTACGTTTTAGCATTTTAACACAAGGCAATATTTTTCATGACAAACGTGTGTTTCAGTGTAATTAGTGACATCACCTCACCTTTCACCTGAAATGTCTGTTTTTAAATAAGACTCTCAGCAGGATGTCCACCCTGAGTGTTTCCATGGACACACAATTGTAAATAGACCAGCAAAGTCAAAAAGTCCAGTTACAGCAACACCAAAGTGCATCAAAGCCGATATGAGCACAGCGATCATCTCAGTTACGCAACCACTGGCACCGAACTGATGCATGTGGAATAGATAGAAGAAGACGAGAGAATCGGTATTTCAGATATGAAATGGTCATCCCTGTAGCTATTACTGGAAACACCAACATGGAAACGTGTTGGAGTCATATGGCAGGACGGAGGAAAAAAAACATCCACGATGGAAAGGGAACAAGGAAGAGAGTCTAATTTAAATCAGGTTTCAATCCTCTGGGGGATTTGAATATTCAGAGCTAATTTCAGGCTCTAAACAAGCAGCCTAACCTCATGTTACTGGAAGCTAGTACAACCCTGAGGACACTATCCGGGTTGATCTACCCATTAACGCAGCAATAACCAAATATTCTTGAGTGGAAATAAAACCTGTTATCACAATACAGGCCTTCCTGCTGAGATGTTGCACGATAAAGGAACAACGAGACCTGACAGCATATCAGACACTTTGCCGCAGGAATGTTTCTCCATAACTCAGATGTGTGAGGGTCAGAGAGTAAGTGGATGCAATAAAGACACTGACAGTGTGACAGTGACAAACATAACAATCTTATATCTACTGTGCTGAACATCGAGAGGTTTACTGGGCCGTACATGTATGTGTGTGTGTACTTCTCAGCACTTTGATTTCATAGTTTGAGAGCAGCAGCTATAACATATGTGTTGGTTCAGTTTGTGAATTTCCCACAGGTTCTGTGTTAAATGTCTGATTCTTTGTGTCTGTGTATCCAGTCTGTTTCATGTTTGTATAAGTGTGAGTCTTTCTCCGGCTTTTTTGGTTTTGCTTTGATAGCTTTACCACATCAGGGTCCACACTGTGTTTACCATATACAATTAAGTATAAAAATATGTTAGATAATTTAGATTATGTTGTTGACAATTATAAAATATATAATTTATTAGATCTATTATACTTCTATTTAAATATTTGTCATCCGGGTTTGCAATGCATACAAACACTTGAATTTGTTTTCTTGTTCTGAATTGTTTAGTTAATTAATATTGTTGGATTTTTTCTTTGTTAGAGTTCCACTCTCGTCGGCAGTCCTTTCTCCTTTAAATGTATGGACCCAAAAATAATATATAATACTATATCTTATTTAAAATTCGATTATTTAACATGAGCACTTGGGTCTGTCATGTTCATGTGCCAGATTTATCCATACAAGCTAGTTTCTATCTACAGTCTTTAATATTGCTGTTGTTCATTTGTCCCATGTATTACCATTCACCACATCTGGACAATATTTGGATGTACATATTTGTATCTGGTTACTGTTGTGTAGCTGACTGAACATGATTAATAAGAACAAGCTGTTCCAGGTCTCTGCAGGTTTTCCTACGTTAATGCAGTAAACTAACCCGTCATAAAGGGGAGGACCCCATCTCTTCCTCATCTCCTCTCAAATCACACGTACCCTCGCGGCTGTTCTCAGGTCTCAGTTGTGCATTTGTGTTTAATCTCCCTGGTCTATTCTTACTCTGGTGAGATCACTGACCGATGTTTCCAGAGCTGCACCCTGACATGCCATCCGCTTCACCAGCAAGCGAGCAGCCACACTGAATCAATAAGAGATTGTTCTATGTGTGTGTGTGGGTGTGTGGGCACAAAGCAGGAGTGATTTAAGTGGAGGTAACACTGACTGGGATCTGTTTGTAGCACCAGTAGAAGCCGTACACACGCTCTGTGCGACACAAACACAGATATAGTCACACAGAGCCATGTTATACAGTATATATGTGTCTAAAGGAATTTTACAAGTGGAACTGATTCTGTCACACGATGCCTTCATGTGACTTTGTGTTTACTTAAACAGAAAAAACTACCCACTTGGGTTTACTCTGAGAAACTATATATATATATATATATACGTACACACACACACACACATCATGCATACAAAGCTTATATATAACTCTTTGCAAACAATCATCTCTGTCCGTCTTGTTTAAAAGGCCACACACATAATTATATTTCAGCAATAAGCAGCTCTTAAATGATGTGTGCTGCCATCTGACTGACAGACTTCTTGAAAGCAGTGAATGGACAAAGGCAGGTTAACAAGACCGATTGCTTGTCGGCCCAGGAAATGTTAACGGGGTGGTGCACAGGCTACAAGGATCAGTTTTGTACACTTAAATATGCACCTAGGTTTAAAATGAACACACACACACACACACACCTTAGTATTTTTGTCCATTTTTCATCTTAGATCTGCACCTAGTTTGTCTTGGTGAGATACTTTTGGCATCTATAAGATATTTTTGGAATGATCTTATCCAACTCTTAAAACACGAAAGTGTTCTGACCAAAAAACTTTCAACATTTGAAAAATCCATTCATTTGTCATTTTTTTAATAACCAAAATTCATTTTCTCTTCCTCTGTTGTGGTTGTGTTTCCATTGTGTGGCTTTTGAGGTTGTGTTCTGGTTCTTGCATTCCTGTTTCTGTATACACGCTTGTGTGAGAAGTCAAAGTGATGAAAAACCTAGTGAAGAAGAGTCAGGGTGATATTGTGATTAGACATGTCTTCTTTCTTAGTGTGTCTGAGCGTCAAGGTGAAACTCTGATAAGATCAAACTGCTTTCCCAAGGGACCGAGCTACAGATCTGAGTATGAAACATGTGATTCAGAGAAAGCCAGACATTTACTGTGTAAACTGGTAACTCTAGCAGCTTGGTAATTTATGTAAAGGCACAACTGGGACCCAGGGCCGTTCACTGGAAGCTCTTATTTATTTTTTTCACTCTTAATCAAAAACTTTTTCCTTCTCAGTTCTTTTTATATTTCATCTCTGCACCCTTCTATTTCTCTCCACTCTATTTCAATCACTTGGTCCCCGCTGCCTCTCATGCACTTTGCCTCTCCCTCAAATGATGTCACTCTTTTTTAAAAAGGAGTGATAATGATTATTAAAACAAAGCCTCCTGAAATGTATACAGTCGTCA